AGTGTGGAGCCCAACATGGGGCTTGAACTCACAACCCTGAAATCAAGACCTGAGCTGAGATCAAGAGTCAGATGCTTAATTGACTGAGACACCCAGGCACCCCTATTTAATTTTTTAAAATTTAAAACTGAATAAGTATTTGTACAGAAAGGTACAGATATTATTGCATATATTTTATGAAGACCCAGAGATTCAGAGAGATTAAGCAATTTGCCCAACAACACAGAGCCAGCAAGTATAAGTGTAAAGGTTTGCCCTCTAAAGTCCATGGCTGTACATGTTCTGTTTGCTTCCTGGTAGTGAGGGAGGGGAGGGGAGGGCAGGGAGGGAACCAACAGCAGCTTCCTATTGACATGTACAAATTTTGGGGCTATCCAAAATCTGACCTCTTTTTATGTACCCAGTCCCATTTCCTATCCTGAGTCTTACCTTGGATGGTTTTCTAGTGAGGTTCATCTCTTTTTTCCACTCCCCAAATGCGTGGTGCCTGTGCCATGTTCTAACTAGACTCCTGTCCTCCCACTTGAAATGCCCTCTGTCTTCTTCTTCCCCATCAAACCCATTTATCCTTTACGAACAGTTCGATCTCCCTCATCCATGACAAGCGTCTTTGTGACTTTGTCTTTATATCATCCTTGGCTTTCTACAGCATAGGCTACTTTTACCATATTTGGTGATTCTATTTTCTAATTTTTTCATGTTGTATTTTATTTCTACACCAAGACTGCAAAGCCTGCTAGGGGAGAAAGTCCTATGCCTCTTTGTGTCCTGGCACAGTTCCAAGCCCAGTTCAATTCACAGACACACAAACACACATGTTCAATATACTCTTGGCAAACTAAATGAATAGTTCCTCTCTATTTGGCCCTGCCTCCAGGCCACCTGTTTTACAGGCAGACTCTCTATTTCACCAAAGAAATTCCTAATACTGGGGCGCCTGGGTGGCTCAGTTTTAAAGGATCTGACTTCATTCTGCTCAGGTCATGGTCCCGTGGTTTGTGAGTTTGAGACCCACACTGGACTCTGTGTTGATGGCTTGGAGCCTGGAGCCTGGAGCCTGGAGCCTGGAGCCTGGAGCATGCTTGGGATTCTGTATTTCCCTTGCTCTCTGCCCACTTGTGCTCTGTCTCTGTCTCTTTCTCTCAAAAATAAAAATAAAACATTAAAAAAATTAAAAAAAAAGAAATTTCTAATACTATAACTATAAATAAAACAGTTATAAGACTTTATTTTTAGCAAACCAGGGTAAATATGCTAAATAAATACACTTATTTATAGGCCTTCTGTTGTCTGGGACAAATAAGTCTTGGCCAAATTTTCACGATCTTATTAGGTTTACCTGTTTAAGGTGTTCACTGAGGGCAATTCTCAAGCTTCCGTTCCTTCTGTTTAACATCTCACAGGTCATGAGGGTGTAGAAAATTGCAGTGCACACCAAGGGCATGCAGAAATAGAACCCGAAGAGCCACCAGTCTTTCACATCTTGGTAAAACTGTAGGGTGAAGAAAGGGAGAGAATAGGAGGTGCATTGTAATCGAAATTTACTGGGCAGTGCTCTGGTAGCTTCAAAATCTTCGTGCTTGTAGATATGTTTCTACATTCACACTTGTGGTAAAGGGCTTGGTGGTGCTCAAAACTCAATGGAAAATCCAAAATCCAATGGAAAATCCAAAAATGATCCTGGCTTTCTAGTAGCACATGAAGAAATTGCACTTAAAAATAATCCTGACAAAGATACTTTTTATAAACCGAAATTGGTTTTAATAACACAGTGGGAGAGCCCTACTCGAGAAGAAGAGTTCCCTCCCAAAGCTCATAAAGCATGATTTTGAGATAGATAGAATATGTATTTATCTTTACTTATTGATGAGCCTCAAAACTTTGCTAGTGCCAAGTTTACTTTTGACTCTTGTGGTTAAAGTGTACTTAATGTGAATATCTTGTGTGGTAACAGCGAAGGTTATGAATGGCTTATCTGTGTAGCTCTGGTTACTGGGAGTTAACCCTTTGCCTGGTATGCTTGCTATGTGACCTTGCAGCCAGCCAGTTAGAGCCATCAATAACCATGCCCTTTCTCGAGCTCTTAATACTTATCACCTGGAAACTATTGAGGCAGAGTATCTTATCTGAAGGCCTATTTAGCATTATCTCTCTGTGGGCAGGATTTGTAAATACTAGTATTATTAAGTTTTATGTCTTTTTAAAGGAGAAAATTTAGTACTCTACAAAATGGAAATTAGAAAATTATATCTGCGTTCTTCCTCCCACTAAATTTATCACCGACTTAGGAAGAAATGCTTTTCCTTATACTCTTTCTCCAGATTGTTTATTTACGAAGGATAATGCAGCCTCCTGTATTATCTCAGTTCCCACAGTAAAAAATAATCATGCTGCTCTGTGAAAAACCGGACAGTTGCTGAATATAGAAAGAGGCCCAGTAGGCTACATTTATAACATGTCTATTAAAATAATCTATAAATGGTTCCTGAGGAAAAAAAGTTCTGGGCAGAGGTTCTTAACTGTTTCTATGCTTTGGAAGTCTGGTGAAGACTATAATCCTTTCTGAGAATAATACTTTTATATGCATAAAATAAAATAAGATTACAGTGGTAGCCAATTATGTTGAAACACAGCTATCAAAATATTAAAATTCTGATCTAGGTGTTTATTAACAAATTAAATGAAAAATCAAATGGTGGCTCTAATAACCATCAGAAGTTGAAATAATGATGAGCAGAAATGATATTTCAAGATTATCCAACTGTTATGTTATGAAAATGTGTATTACTTCCATTAGTGGAAATAAAATGGTTCTGCTAAATATGACTGTGGTTTGTTGCCTACATTCATAATAGAAGGAAATGATAAATTTCAGTTAGAAGTTAGTGAAAATCAATATGTAATTTCTTTTCCATTCAGGTTCACAGACCCCTGAATTCTATCCTAAGGTTAGTGCAAACTACACCAAGGGACTTGGTTTATTCAGATCTGTTTATACAAGTATTTCCCTCTCCACATCACACTGTAGAAAGATTTGCGTACTGAAGGAAACAAAACAAAACACAAGAACAAAAAAATCAGAACTCTTTGTTTAAGTGCACACAAACACTCCTTTAAGCGCTCTCTTCACTTGTACCTCCTTCTTCCAGATGCATTGCTGCCTGGGTGTGAATGCCCTAGAAGCAGCTGCAGAAGGTCTGGAAGCTGACCTCTGAGGGGTCTCAGTGGAGTCCCCTGCCCCCTCCATGGCAGAGGCCTGTAGAGAAAGGGGTCACACGTTTCTTTTGAACTAATGTCATCAGCCAGGGTATGGAGGGACCTCCCTCCATTCTAGGTTAGGGCAGAGTTGAGGAGGAAAGAATGGAACACAAGCTGGGGGAGAATGAGTCTGAAAACTTCAGAGTTGGATGGAATCTAAAAAACAATCAGTGTGAACTCATACTTTTCATTGTAATCCCCTTAGGTAGCTAGCTAGTCTTTGCTTGCCCACTCTAGAAGAGAGACTCGGTTGTTGTGAAGTAGCCCATTTCATTTTGTCTAGTTTCAATTGATTAGTGAGCTCATTCTTATACTAAGCCTCTTCTCTTTAACGCTTTTGTCGGGAATAGCTAGATTGCTTATTCGCACTGCCCAAATTCTGATAACCTCCTGCTGCTACTCTGTTTTTCACTATGGACATCGACTTAATAAAAAGGTCAGTAGATAAACAGAAGACCTTAATTTTAACATCGCCAGTTTGGCAGTTTTCATGAGTACTTTTAATTTTAAAAGAAGAATTTCCAATGCAGGAAAACTGGTCAACTGTAAAACCACTAATTTTGTGAATTTTTCAAGTTAGGAAAACATACCTGGGGATGTCTGTGAAGGATTAAATGTGGAATCTGAGCTGCATGAAACCTACATCAAAGCACTAAATTATGCTGATTTAAGAGAAATGGTTCTCCTTTTCCTCCCCAGTCCACATTTGACTAGTTTGGCAAAGGAAATATGCATTTTAAACATGTTTCCCAATACACTCAGTTATGTAATTAAACTTTTCAAAAAAACATTAATGTGGTCAGATATATCGAACAATAACTGAATTTGTTAAAGAACTAAAACACTTTTTAAAAAGTTCTGCAAATTTGTTATTTGTATATTACATATAGAATTTGTACTAATATAAGTACATGAAGTATAACTTCCTACTTTAAGTTAGTAAATCTATCTTTAAAAAAGTGTGAGGAATGTGCATTTCCCCAAATAACATAAAATACATATTAGCATGCCCATCAGATGGAAATTGTTGTGCTGTATTACTTATTATAAAAACAAATAGCACTGTGTATATATATACTCCCCCCCCCCCCCCCCATCTATCTTTCTGAGTAAGTTTGTTTCAGATGCTGAGTTGTTTGGGGTAAAACTAGAGTTGTGTCTACAATTGTGCTCTAATATAAGAGTGAAAACAAAATAGTTGCTCTAATTATGGGACTGAACTAACAGAGTAAGCCACACTGGGCACTGTAAAAATATCAACAAGTCTTGGCGATGGTAAAGTATATATGAAGACCTCCTCTCCTCCCCAATTTCCTTTAAACTCTCCATACCTCCATGAATCTTGATGTGGCATTGAGCATACAGGTTTTGTGCTGTTCACCCCTGTATTCAAAGGGCACCATGACGAAGCCGATAGCTTCAGGGATAGCCAGGATAAAAGAAAGGATCCAGATGGAGACGATCTCAATGGCAGTGATCAAGGGAATCCCAATTCCCTGGACACGACTCCAGGAGGCAACTGCTCTGTACCTGAAAAACAAAAGCAGGGTGGGGGTGGGGGAAATGGAGGCAGAACCTAGGTGTTAGGAAATTTAAAATTTATTTCATTTAAAAAATAATTATAAATGCTAGAAAGATCCTCCCCTTAGCCAGTGACCAATCACTGGAACTTTCCAATGAGTCCTGGATCTTTCTGTGAGTCCTGATGTGAAAAATAAGGACCCTTCTGTGAGTCCTGATTTGAAAAGTAAGTGGAACCATTAAGAGTTCCACCCCTTTGGGAATCAGGTGTCTGGCAGGCCTGAGTCTGAGGTCTTCATTTGGGATTCAGGAAAATCTTGTGATGGCTTATAATGGGGCAGCATCAGATAAATGTGCCTATGTTTTTTATTTTTATTTATTTTTATTTTTTTTAAAGATTTTTTTTTCAACGTTTATTTATTTTTGGGACAGAGAGAGACAGAGCATGAACGGGGGAGGGGCAGAGAGAGAGGGAGACACAGAATCGGAAACAAGCTCCAGGCTCTGAGCCATCAGCCCAGAGCCCGACGCGGACCGGACCGCGAGATTGTGACCTGGCTGAAGTCGGACGCTTAACCGACTGCGCCACCCAGGCGCCCGGTGCCTATGTTTTTTAAGCTGGGGGAAAAAACTGGATGATGGAAGGTGTAGTGAAAGCTGCTGGTACTTGTTAAGGTAACATCTTACTCCTCTCTATATATTAAAAAAAGAAACTTGAAACATTATTATGAAGTGGATCTAGATATCCTTAAATGAATATGACCATAGATAGCTGATCATTTTCTCCTTTCTTCTCTCACTGTATACCTGGTAGTCAAAGAATGACTATCTCCCATTATGGTCCTGAGCTAAAATAGATAAAGTGGAGTTAAAGATATCTTGGTTCCTAATCTTTAGGGTTTACAATCTAATAGAAAAGAAAGGTTCATAGAAAAATGTAGAACATAAATGTTACTGGACAATCATGTCAATCAAAAAACAAACTGGCATTAAGAAATTGTTTATTTTCTACTTTAATATTTTTTGTGATAGTAATCCCATTTCAATGTTAAGTCTAAAGAAAGTTTGGTTTCAGAAAGTCTGTGTTTCTGACCTGAGGTGATGGTCTGGTGCTAACTACTTTTAGGCTTACTATTAAGATGGGACCTGTGACATGGTATGGTATTTTTGTGGCTTCATTCTTGAAATTTTTTTTGCTGTTGTAATGGAAAGTAAACATTCTCTTTTTATAGCTTTCATTAGATAGTGCCAGAAGAAGACTGTAAAACAGACCAAGGCATTGGGGACAGGTGCACATGGGCTTGTAGGGCACATGACTTAATGTCAAAGATTTGTCAGTAAAGCCAAGGCAAACTACACGTTACCCATAATCACTCTTATCACTTATATTTACTGTGCTGTCTCAGTGCATCTACAAGGTACATCTGTGAAAACACAGGTCTTAGGAATTATGCTACCTAGTTCTCCACTGTAGATTAGAACTTATAGTTTGGGTATGCACGACGATGCCATATGGCACACATATAGCACAATTTGCTGAAGAAATATTTTTTGCAAAAGATTTTTAGGATAAATAAGATTGATGTACAATAAGAATCTTAAAAAAAAAAGTCCAGATTAGTTCAGAATTGAATAAAATACAGCTATGCAAACAAACCAAGAAAATCCTTTTACGATATAGCGAAGATTGCATTTTTAAATTTATGGTTATTTCCAGTGGGATAAAGACTGCTATTTATTTTGCTTTTCATTTCTGTTTACTTTTCTTTGTTGCCTTATTAGACTGGCAGCCTGATGTCCAGTAAAAGCTAAAAGGAATGGAGACAGGATGTCTATATCCCGAGGCTGTCAGTGAGTTATATCTATTTCTTTTCCCCTTCTCTTAGATCAACTATCAGGAAAGGTGCTTTAAATAAAGTGCTTTATCTCCTAAGGGAGTAAGGAAGCAAGATTTATTAGGCAGGATTGGAGATAGAAGGTGGTTTGAGAAGGAAAATGTGGTCAATATGTTCTTATGATGAGTATATTCACAAAGCAGCTTCATTTTGTAATATGCCATGAGTCCTCAAATTATTACATGTCTATAATCTAATGTAAATTCAACATTTTAAAATAAATAGAAGTAGTTTTTAGTGTATAGTGTGGCAAACCCACATGACTGAGAATTAGACTATTTTTTATTTGTAATCACATTGATTTTGATGACATTTACATGACATGAGAAAACAATTGTAAGAGTTAATTAGAAATAATCATTTGTGATGATGGGGGTAGGGAAAGGTGTGAAAGATAAGAAATACCGGATGTTCCAAACATAATTTCTATTTAGAATATAATGATACAACACACATATCCATAAATATATTCTCCTAACTAGGTGTGATTATAAACATCCTTCAATGGAGCTAGTGGACACATATGACATTTTCACTTGCCATAGAAAATCTGCAAGTGTAGATTCAACCACTAACAGCTGATATTCCAGAAATGATGTCTACTTTTTGCAATGGTTTCTTCTCTCGCCTTCTACTACATTTCTCCTGGTCTTTCTCCAGCTGATAAGGCTGGCTATTTCTTCTCATCTCCTTGGCTGGAACCTGCTCACTTCTCAAACTCTTAGCATTGGATTCCTCCTTAGTCCTTGGTCCTCTTTTCTATTCTATCAACACACTTTCTTTTAGTGATCCATCCAGTCTCATGGCTTTACTATCATTTAAAATTTCTATATACTGATAATTAATTCCCAAATTTATAAGTTTAACCGAGGTCCCCGCCTCTAGCTCCTGACTTGTCTTTCCAACTAGTTAACTGATATGGCCACTTGAAATCTAATAGGCACTCGAACTTACCCAAACCAGACTCCTGGTCCCTTTCATGACCTCCACCCTGCCCTCTCTTCAGTCCTTACCATCTCAGGCCCAGAATTTGAAGTTAGCCTTAACTCCTCTTTTTCCCTTTGCTATCACACATCCAATTCTTTAGCAAACCCTGTGACCTCTTCCTTCACGATACACCTAAATGCAACCACATCTCACCATCTCTCCTGTTACCATCCCACCTGGATTATTTTAGTAGCTTCCTAACTAGTCTCCCTTCATCCATTTTGTCCTACTTCATTCTATCCCAAACATAACAGCCAAAGTGAGCCTGTTAACATGTAAGTCCCTCACGTCATCCCTCGGTTCAAATCCCCCAGCAGTTTCCAGCCCAGTGGGAATGCCTACTGGTGTTCTCAGAGCTGCTTCCTCATCTGCTTTACTTTACTCAGGTGTAGCTTTTCATAGGGTCCTTCCCTGAACATCCTGTTTGAAATTGCCAGAATCCCCTACAGACTTACGCTGACCTGCTCACGCTGATTGGTTTTTCTCCATAGCGCTTACCAATTGGTCACCATCAATATTTGATTGATGTGACCAATCAAATATTTTATTTATCGTCTCTGTTCACCCTTGTCTTTAGAATATAAGCGCCATGAGGGCAGGCATTTTATATGTTGGTCACGATACCTAGAACAATAGGTGCCAAATAAATATCTGTCGAAGTAAATGTCTTTGTTTCCTGGCCATGCATTTATCTTTATCAGCCAATAAAGCACACTACATTCTGAGCATTTTCTTATTTTTTAAGGCAGCCTTGACAGACAACAAACAAAAAGCTAATACTTTTAGAATCCTAGAAGCAAATAATTAAAAAACCATGAGGGACTCTTGGGGTGATCTTTCTCCCCTTCATGTTCTACCAGTTGGGAACCTGAGGACTGGAGTGTTACTATATCGTCTGCCTCATCTCCTGTGAATGTGGAGAGCCCGGACTAGGGCTCTGGTCTGCCAACACCCAGGGGAGTCTTTTCCCACGACATCACCTTGTACCCTGTCATGTGATATGCCAAAATAAAAGTATAAATTACGCATTTTATTTATGTAAAGATGTTTGTTACTGTGTATGTCTATATATAGATTTCTACATGTTTCCAAGGCCAAAGGCATTTAATGCATGTTTTTGAATTTTTGAGGTATGGCCTGGGATGGTAAGTAAATTTTAATATATTTATTATTGAATGTACTTTAAAACAGGATGAAATAAAACAAATTAAAAAATACCACTTCAACAAAACCTATTTTTATTTCTTCTTATTCTTTGCCTATTTCTATTCTCACAAGCATAATCTAAATATATATTATAACCATATCAATTACAATTTTATTTTTAGCTTTATCTACTTTTCATGATAAAAAATGGCCTTATGCTTCTACAGAAGCATGGCATTTATTAATTTATAGCTACACAGTATAACTGGATATTGATACAGTTGACTTAAATATTTCTCCTAAGTTCACATCAATTCTAGTGTTTCAAGGTTGTGAATAACACACTTATAAATATGTTTGTATATATAGTTTTTTTTTTCTCTTTTTGAATGATTTTCCTGGATTAATTATCTTGAGGGGAATTATTGAATCAAAAGAAGGAAAAGGTAACTGAAGTACTTTCAGTACTTCAGTAATTTCTACCAAGTGCCTATCGATACTTGTCTACATTGGAATTTATTATTTTCCCTTCCATGTTGCCACTTCCAGTAAGTGTCACTTCTACCCTTACCTATGCACATTGTTAATTAACAGCAAATGCAATCATTTGTAATGTTTCTTTATGATTTATGTATCTTATATGATAGACAAACTAACTTCCATGCAGAGGTTTGGAGGCAAAATACCAGCAGGAAGAATTTTATTTTATTTTTATTTATTTATTTATTTCAGCCGGAAGAATTTTTTTTTAATTTTATTTATTTAATTTAATTTTAGTTTTTTTTAATATATGAAATTTACTGTCAAATTGGTTTCCATACAACACCCAGTGCTCATCCCAAAAGGTGCCCTCCTCAATACCCATCACCCACCCTC